TAAAGCTGGTCTTCAATACTTTATAATCATTGTGATAAAATGTCTACACCAGAAAGATTAACAATCAAAACTTCAAGCATCTTTTCAAAATGGACCCCTACTTTCCCCAGTTATATTTAACAAATTCTGATTGGGATTAAAGCCCTTAACTCATCAGTCACATTTTTCTCCAACCCTCACTCAAATTAAAAAAAAAATTGAAATTTATGCTATGATTGCAACATTTTCATTCTTCAAATCTTTTGTTCAGTTGTTCATATTGGCTCCAAATACAGAAAATTTCAAAATGCACATAAACATATTTGCCCCAACTGAATATGTTGTTCAAAAGCTTGAACACATTCCACTGAAAACAATTGTTTAAACTTCCACCTCATGATATATTTTGGCTCATAAAGTGATTAAGAGGAGAAGGGGAGTTGCATTGCCATGGAGCAATATCTAACTTGTCAATAACTTGTCTACTGCCAATGTAGTGCATTTGCTTCTAAACCAAGTGACCTACACATGGGGGCCTTATGCAAGATGAAGCTTGGCCATTTCAGTATTATTAAATAGTATGATAAAAAGTCATCAAATTTTGATGTAACAATCATTTATCCTGTTTGCTTTTGACTTCACACACTTCTAATCAAAGTCACATCCATTCTTCCTCTCAACTTCATCCACTGCAATTAAAAATGAAAGAAAATTAATTTGCTAGTAAAAAAAAAAAAAAAAAAAATTCCAATCCACTAAGTACCAGAAAAAGTGCAATTTTTTTTATTAATAATACACATCCTATTTAAAGCAGTTGAATAATGAAGACATTGCTACCCTGACCAAATATTACATCAACACTATAGAATTACCAACTTTCACAAAAGATTTAAAATCTGAAAAGAGGAAGCCTTAACAATTTAATTAATTCCTACAACAATGAGAATGTAGCCCAAATTAATATAAAATGACATTTACAAGAATAACAATTTCTATCAATTGGGTTGGGTAAGATTTAAAAGTTGGAGAAGGGAGGTCACCATTCTAATAGCTACAAAATTAAGTGAAGTGGGTTGATTAGCAATTCAGGATCAATTTTGTATTCAGATCTGATGAAATGATAAAAATCAAGATAAAAAAAAAAGTTCTTAAAACTGAGGGTAAGTAACATACCAATGGCTTTTTGAAAAGATAACCACCTGTATTCATTAGAACCTTGTTAATTCAGGTTTGCTCTGTCAGCCATAACAGACCAAATCCTTTGATATAGAAATAAATAAATTGATAAATATTGACATTTAGCTTAAAACAATATTTGAAGTTTGGTAAAATAAAATATAAAATCTTAGGGATAATTAAGGCAAAATATAAAATCTTAGGGATAATTAAGGCAAAATATAAAATCTTAGGGATAATTAAGGCAAAATATAAAATCTTAGGGATAATTAAGGCTCATTAAGGCAAAAGCTGAATTTTGACTGGAAATTCACATTGTTAATGTTCAATCTTTGTAATTAATGGAGAAGCTTGGTCTAAATGCATTGACAAAGAATGAGGTTAAAAATATAATATTCGTGTGATATTTTCCACCTACACTACACGAGGACTCACCACCCAACGATGTATAAATTTTTGTATATCAAGAACAATATGAGGGGAAGATGTATGACAAAAATGGAAAAAACATTTTTGAGTCATGCGTTGATGAAGTTCTAAAGGACAAAACACGTTACATGAAAACTTTTGTTACACTTTGTCATACATTCCTCCCAAATATGTATAAAATAAAAAGAAAAGTTTTGTTTTGGATGTTCAGCACCGATACCCTTTAAAATTTCCTGGTAGTCAAGTCAACACTAAAGAGTCAATTACTTTTTGGTATATAAATTTACCACAAATCTATTAAATGGAAAATGAGTAGCAGCTGGAAGAGATTTTATAGACAGAAAAAAATATCTGATTAATTATTGACCTAAAAATAAAGACAATTTATGCTTTCATATAAAAGATTTTCTTTTTACAAATTATTAAAAATTGTAATTTTTTTTCTCTCTAGCTAATTGGAAATAATTTCAAAATTTTTATTTAACACTATGAAAGGATTTTTAGAGAAGTGCTGTCAAAACCTAAGCAGTAGTTTATTGTCTTCGTGACAAAGTTGTAAGTTTTTTTTTTTTTTTTTAATCATTTGACTCCACCTCACACCAAGCAATAGAGCCACTAAAGATGCAAGGGGTTACTGAGTGTGAAAGTATATATAAAAAAAGAAAAACAGTAACATTTAAAGAGTGCAAACAATAAAAGAACAGAATATAATGACTGACATTAAATTACATTTAAATTTTTGAAGATCAAAGTTGACTGGAAAGCAAGAGGCCGGAATAGTTCCACAAACGGGAAGTGTGAGAGCAAAAACTGTTAGCGCATAAGTTATGGTTACATTTCAACTATAAAGCGATGAGACCTAACTGCCAATCTAGTAAAGAGCTTAAATTCGTTAAGTCGAGGTACCGAAGAGAAATGTTCATCAGAACAATTACCATGAAAATATTTATTAAAAAAAAAAAAAAAAAAAAAAGCGCAGGGTAGCTATGTAGAGGTTTTTAAAATAAATAAAAATCAAAGTAAATGTCTACAGATAATCGTAAAATAAACAAAAAAAAGGCAGCAGCTGTCTGATAAAAAAAAAAAAAAAAACTTCCTACATAGACATTTTTTTTTTTTTTTTTTTATTCACAAGCAAAAAGTCTTTAGTTTATTCAAACATTAAGAGATTATCAAAAAGTGTATTAGATCAAAGTTTAATTATTTTTCAGTTTTTAGTTACGAAGTAAGACCACGAAGAGACTATTGACATGAAACAATCCAGAGAAATTAAAATAAATTTAAAACTAATTGAGGGCGGGTCATCACTTTCCAAACGGGAAAGTTTTAAAAAACCCTTCGGTAATAGTGGCAATTAATTATTTTAGGAAAGTATTTTATGCTGGTAAATAAAATTAAAATACAAGAAGAGAATTATAAAATGCAAACAAAGAATAAGGAGGATGAGAAGAAGAGAACTACACGATGACACGATAATAAATAGCAAGGCCTTGGATTACGAATGATCAATTCTTCTTCTTCTCTTCTTCATTCACAACAAATTGCTTTCGAGTTCTGTTAAAGCACGGCTTTTTTTTAAACAATAAAATCTAAAAATAAGAACAAAATTTAAATCAAGTAGAAATGAAAAAAATGACGGTTTTGACGAGAAAATAAGTAAATGATTTTTAAGAAATTATTTTGTTGAGAAAAATAAAAGCATTTCGCCCACACAACAAAAAGAAATTATCATATAAAAATTTTTTCTCTTTTCAAATTCTTCTTAACTTACGAATGTGAAGATGAGCAAGTTTAATTATTTACAGACAGGTGACCAACAAAAATCATATTGTGTGTGTAAAAATGATAGGTGAAAAAGTTTAGTCCATTGTTTAGTAGTTAATTACACTGGGGGAACAAGTGGGAAGTGATAAAAAACGACCTTCATTAGGTGATGAGATTAGATAAATTAATAATAATATTAAAAAAAAAAATAGATTAAAAAAAATAATCACTATGTACAAATTTCACTCCAAACAATACTGAACCAAGAAGCTTTTTTTTTGCCTTGGAAGAAAAATTTTTTTCCCTTCCAAGCTATGAGTTGTTGATGAAGATTGAAGACTGATGAAGAACAGTAACTGTTTTAAAAAGTTTAATTGCATCCTAGTTTTATTTACTTTTAAGTCCGAATTGAATAGATTCATTATCCTTTTCTTAGTCTTTAAATCGTGGAAGATCGGAAGAAAGCAGTTGATATTTTTAATTGGAAAGAAAACTCATTTCGTATGAGACTCGAACCCACACCCTACTTGTGAGTTTGTAATTTTGAAGGAGGAGAGAAAGTAAACTAAAATATAATTACTAGAAAGGTTCGTTAACGAGTAAGGACAAAGTTCAATTCATATTTATCAGCATCTATGAAAGAAAAAAAAAGAAAATCTAGAAATAAAATCAAAACTTAGCAAATTGCAATGTTTGTTTCATAACTGGTTGATTTTTTTTGGGGGGGGAACTTGTAATTTTGGAGGAAAATTGTACAAATAATTAATCAACAAAGCTATACCATTATTATTATTAACGAATCGGCACTGGATTAGAATTAAAAAATGAAATCTTGTAAGAGATTATCTTCCTCTTGTCAGTAGCAATTGAACCCTCAATATATGACCATCAAACGATATGATGATCAAGCTATTCCAGGAGGAGAATAAAGAAGGGGGTTTGATTATCCAGCCTTGTTGAATAAGGTCATTGTTTTTTTAAATCCAGTTCTCAAATACGTAGAAACAGGATATTATTTCAACATTTACAGATTCAACAAATCGTAAAATAAAATAAATACGATCAGAAAGGAATTGAACACAAAAAGTGGCAAGCGAAGGAGGAGGAGATGAAATTTCAGGCATGGTCACAAAATCGGGGATCAGTTTAGGATATACCCCCACCTCCCTCCCCCTCTTTATAATGACAGGGGCAAGAAGATATTAAAAATAGCCAAAGGGTTCGAAACCTGATTATCGGTACAGACTTCTCGGCATAAATATAAAAACAAAACATGAAATACGATTGTCGTAAACGGGGAGGAAATAATAGAGGTGGGTGATGGGAAAGAACACAACCCTCACTTTCTAACCAAATTTTATCACCAGGAGAATGTTTCTAAGGTGGGGAAAAAAATTTATAAGAGTCGGACAGTTATAAATCTGTGTATATTAAATATAAAACATATTGATCGAAACAATATCACTGTCAAAAGTGCCATGATTTCTTTAAGTTCGTAAAACTAACAGAATCAGGAAAGATATACGCTGGGAAAAGAAAAATAATTTTAACTGGGATATAAAAATGTGAGATTCAAACAGGTGACTGGATTAATTATTTTTAATATTATCTAAGTGATTTATTCAAGAAACAAGAAATGTCTTTATACTTACCGCGATTACATTAACGAATGTCGTCTTGCCAGAGTACTGCAAGCCTACCAGCGTCAACTCCATTTCTTCCTTCCAAAATAAACTTCGGAACCAATCTAGGATTCTTTGAAATAACGCTAACATAATGGAAATATGTGTTTGGAAATGGTCTTGATTTATAGCAAGTATATAAGTAAAAAAAAGAAAAATATATGAATGGTAGCCGTGAAGAGAAATAAACCGTAAACTCCTTGTTTTTGTTGTCGTATTATTCACCAAAGCCTTTTTACAAAAAAAAAAAAAAAAAAAAAGTTTCCTTTTATAAATCTCCGTACATATGTTTTCGTCACTACCTTTATTTTTTTTTTTTAAAAAGAAAATTTCTTGATAGGTAGTTTAATTTACTTACGTATTATTAATTATGATCAAACATACATAAGGAGAAAAAAAAAAGGAGGGGATGTAAAAAATTTTGAAACTGTCCAAAGAGGAAGTGTTGAGGAAAAAAAAAGTTTATGGTGATGTTGTTATTATTTTCTTTTGTTGTTGGTAAAGAAATATATTTTGTGTTTCCTTTAAAAGATTTATCAGGTCCTCATACACACACATACATACATAGATACACTCCCTCGGTTAATCCGTCTTGGGGGTTCTGTTTATGTTTCTTTGGCTGTTTCTTTTCTACGTCTTTTCTCGATCTCCTCGTCAGGTTGTATGTGTGTGTGTGTGTATATATATCTCTCTATATATAAATATATACATACAAGAAATAGTTTATGTATAAGGTAGGTACGTATATATATATATAGTTGGAGAGATAGATAAATACCGGAATCGTCCAAGAAGAGGAATCCGAGTAGTAGTTTCAGATATTATTAATAATAATAATAGGAACAGTAGGCGTCGTCCGCCTTATTTCACTATATTTCTTTCTTCCTCTCTTTTTTTTTTTCCTTCACGTGTTAGTAGTGGGATAAGGAGAGCAATTATATGATTTAAACAGAGAGGAAGTCAGTAAAAATATTGGCTTACTGACGGAGTAAGCGGAAAAACAATTTGGTGACTGCTATTGTTTCTCTACAGAAATCAATAACAGGGGTAGTTTTCTTAAGTAATAAGAGAGTAGGAGGAAAGAGAGGAGCAACGATTAAATCACATGACATTAATCCAGCATGTTTCTACTTCCGCTTCCGCTCATGTGATTCGTGCCTCGTGCTTTAAACTGAAAGAAGACCGAGCTAGTTGATTATTACACACGACAACTCTCTTATATCCGGGTTTACTAGAAATTAGAATTTTTATTTTCCACCAATTTATACAGCTAAAAATTATTTAAATTATATTGAATTATTTATGTACCATTAAGATAAAAAAAAAATGGCTTCCTTTTCCCTTTTAGATTATAAAAAGCTAAGATAGATAGCTGAATTTGAAGTAATTTAAAATAATTAAATACACTAGTAATCCTAAAAGTTATTGACATAAGTTAGTTTATTTTATTGTTTGTTTTTATTCTTAAAAATAAAAATTTAAAATAACACAAATATGTCCAGATTTATGCAGAAAAAAATAAAAGTGTTTGAATTTTATTTTTCTATTAAATTAGTGAGAAAATTTCCATATTAATATATTTAATTTTTCTGTATTCATTTATTTCTTTCAATAAATCTAATTTTAGAATAATTAAGAAAAATAAAATTAAAAAGTGAAAATGTTTCAAAATTATTTATCTTTCATTTATTTACATATAATTTATATATAGATTTGAATGTATAGTAAAAATTTAGAAATTGCAAGAAATAAAGAAGTCAAAAAGAAAAAAAAATCATTTTTGTTTCCAAAATTTTTCTTTTTTTTTATAATTCTTTTGCCTAAATATGTTATATATATATGTAATATGTTTATATATATATATTTTTAAGACATTTTTATGTTTATACATTCTTTTCATAGATACAAATATTTATCGGCCTGAATGTCTGAGAAATTTTCATAGAAAATATTTGTCCTCCAACAGGAATCGAATCTGTATCCTATATGAAACCATCATATAGCCTGACGTGCCCTAACCGATGGAGCCACAGAGGATTGTTCGATTAGCAAGGTAGATTTTACTGCTTTTAAACTACAATCTTCCATTAAAAGCAGCATTTACATATTTGTATCTATAAAAAGAATGTATAAACATAAAAATGTCTTTAAATAATTGTTGGACTTGTCCATTTTATAATATATATATATATATATATATATATAATAAGTTATATATATATATATATATATATATAATAAGTTATATATATATATATATATATATATATATATATATATATATATATATATATATATATATATATATATATATATATATATATATATATATATATATATATATATATATATATATATATATATATATATATATATATATATATATATATATATATATATATAATATGTTATATTTATATATATATATATATATATTATATATATATATATATATATATATATATATATATATATATAAAATATATATATATATATATATATATATATATATATTATATATATATATATATATATATATATATACAGTGTAACCTGGATATAAGAGAGATTTTCTCTGGTCCCAAATTAGAGCCTGTGTTAATGTATATAAAATAGACCAAAACCGGATATAAGAGAAGAGTTTGTCTGACGATCGCTAAAGCGTGAAACCCAGGGTCACAAACTCACATCTATCCAACCAAATATATAATATGTTATATATATATATATATATATATATATATATATATATATATATATAATATGTTATATATATATATATATATATATATATATATTATGGTTTGGTGATGAATGGATTCGGTGTTTAATGTTGAATGATCTGTGGAAATTTTCCTGCTGATAAACACCAGTCAAAAAGTCCAGGCACATCATCTCACAAGCGAGCGAACCATTGATTACAGAATTAGTAGTGATAACCCCAACATAAATACATGCAATTCAGCTCTAGAATTTTTATAGTAAATCAAAAATAACATTCCCAATTACTACTCGAAGTATTGCTACAATTTTTACCTACTTAAACGTAATACTATCCCCTATCTCCATCTTTCCTCCTCTACCTCTCACTCTTAGGACGCTTGTGAGATGATGTGCCTGGACTTTTGACCGGTGTTCATCAGCAGGAAAATTTCGACAGACCATTCAACATTAAACATCCAATCCATTCATCACCAAACTGCTATCAACAAACACTATTGTTTCACTCTGTCACCTATATTTTTTTTTTTCTTCACAAACAAATGGAAAAAAAGGAAGTGACGTTTCACACACTACAAGCAGGGTTGTTCATAACCATTTTTGATTCTCACCCATTTCAAGCCAAAGGACAGGTTTAAGACTAATAGTAATTGAAATAATAAAGCACATCGTTTTAAGTTGTCTATTTAATTGACTTCATGGCCAAGGGGGTGTGGACTTAATTAAAAATTTCGGAGTTCCCTTCTGGTCCCCTAACTCATGGGGGTCCCAATGTTGATTTTCAGTGAATTCCAAGTGACTACTTCAGTTACTCGATATAATCTCAATATCTCAATATGAAATTGGGGAATACTGTTACAAAATACACTTGAAAAGCAATTGAGGCATCAAGGGGTTTATAGGGTCATCCTGGGGGTGGGGCTCATGCATTTTTAAATTCTAAGAGCGTAACAAACATGCAAAATTTCATCAAAATCGAAGCAATTTGAATTTTTTTGGGTCCCTTTGGGACACCCTGGGGGTCCCAGTATCGAGAGAAACGAAAATCAATATAGCATATAAAAGGTGTGACAGTAAGTTGCATACACTTATCAATTTCCATTAAAATCGGCCTTAGGGTTTAGACTTCAAATCTGAAAGTTTAAAAACAACCAAACTAATGGAAATTCCCATTTAAACATTATATTTATCGATTATCGGTATTTGATTTTTGAAAAATGACGAATTTTTTGCCCTCGACACATCCAGTATCGAGTACAATCGATGTTCCAGATTTGGTGGAAATATGCCTTATGGTTCTTGAATAGTTCGTGAACACACACACACACACACACACACACACACACACACACACACAGTCAGTTTTATATATATATATAGATGTATGGCTTGGGACTCAGGGTTGGACATTGGGGTTCTGGGGATGGCAATGTAGGACTGAGTAGTGTGGAAAGAGATAATTAATGGCGTTCTAACCAACCACCGAGAGGTTGAAGGAGGAGTAGGATGATGATGATGATGATGATGATGATGATGAGTAAGAGGAGGAGGAACTCTCTAGGAGAGTATTTTACCTGAATAATGGTGATGCAAAGATACATACACAAAATAACAGAGATCGATTGATTTACAATGCAGAATAATATTTTTTAAAAAATGACAGAAGGAAAGTTTAAGAGTTTCTTTTCCTAGAAATAAATGGAATGGAATACACAATGAAGTTGTTAATAAATGTATCTTGGTGTGACTTGCCTGTGTAGGTGTGTTTTCATGTGAAGTGTCCACAGCCCTTTTTGCTTCAGTGTGGAAAGTTGATGGCACACACTTCGAAAGGAGGAAAAACAAGAAAAGAGAGTTACTTAAGGATTTGCCTGTTTTTATACCCTCTGGACTGCTGCTGATAATATGTTTATTAAGGCACTACACCATTATTACTACCACAGTATAGGGCAGGGGTCTGCAACCTTTTGAAGTGAGAGGGCCAGAAATCTATGCAGCATCTTGGAGGGGAGCCATGACATCAAATTTACTATAATAAATTGTCTCAACCCCTGACTGCTACATCCAGAAGACTGCCTTAGTCTGGAGGTTTAAAGAAAAAACAACAAAGTTAATGTTATATTATTTAAACAAGTTTCCTTATTTTACTGCAGGAATAACAGAATAACAATTTACACTATCAACAAAAAATGCAAATTCCTTACTACAAATAAAATACAATAAAAAATGGCAAATTATTTAATGAGACACTTGTTTCTACTTATAGTTATAGTTTGATAACTTCTCCACATCAAGTGAAATATTTGTCAGTA